GGCCTCTCTCGCCCAACCCCACTGCAAGCCGGCCCCAGGCCGCCTCGCCGCCGCCCGGCCTCGCTGCGCGCCACCATGGACAGTCCCGTTTTCCCCTGGTAAAGATGGCGGTGCGCGATCGCTGCAACCTTTAGACTAATGACTGTCCGAAACATCGCCTCCATCTGTAATATGGTGAGTGGCCGCCGAGCCTCCGGGGGTCGCGCCCGCGGCGAGCCAGGCAAAGAAAGGGAACCCCGGGCTGGAGCTGCACGCGCGTTGTGGTGGCCGTAGGGGCCGCACGGCCAGAAGTTCCTGGCTCCCGGGGCTGGGCCAGCTGACCGCAGTCCCCCGCCTCTGTCCCAGCTGGGGACCTAGTAGATCCCGGGGATCCCCACGGCGGCCCCGTGCTCCCGCCCTCTAGCTGCGGTGCGGGCGGTGGGTGGGAGTGAAGGGTTCGTGGCCGCACACTGATGTCCGGGGAAGGACCGTGAGGGTATGAGTCCGGAGAGGGAGGACGCAGATCCTCCTGGTGCAGTAAATAAACCCTCACTGGACTCACTGTCCTCGTCTCCTTTTGGAGTTCAGCCTCGATTGTATTTAAGATTCACTTTGCAATGGCAGTGCTCTTATGGGGAGAAACTGGATAGACGTAAAAGCTGTGGAAAAAAAAAATCCAAGTTCAGAATCTGGTTAGAGCGGTGGTAAAGCCGGGTATGGGAGAGCACGGCAATGTGTTCTGGAGGCCTCAGTTTCCCCTACCTGCAGGAGAGATTGTGTGGCAGTAACGTTTGCAGGCCCTGGGAGTGAGGCGGCTGTGGTTGTGAGGAAGTCTGCAGGGGTCATCCTGCCCCGCCTCCTCTCCTCTCCACTTAGCTTGGGCACTGCCTGGCATGTCACTGTTCTGATGGGCTCGGGGGTGGGGCATGACCCAGTGGTTACTTCGATTTGAATTTTCCCCATTCCTTCCTGCCCTGTTTCGTTTCCTTGGCACCCATTTCCAGCCTTTGGGTCCCCTGGATGTACTCAGCTGGCACCCCTACTTGTGAGAGCCTGAGGGAGGTCAGTTTGGAGTAAGGCGGTTGCCCACTATGGCTTGAGTGTAGGCGCTCTGCCTACACTCTCTGGATCCCCCTCTGAGCCCTTCAAGCTGGAACACTGCTGTTTTTGCCATTTTGGAGAATCCACCCCCCCGCCCCCCCCTCCCCCCGTAGATGGTAATGCTAGCCCCTAAAGGGAATCCGAGGAGGCCTGATTAAGAAGGCTTTAGGTAAGGTGATCGGCTGCCCTTCCCCCATCACGCAGCCTCTTAAATCTTCTGCCCCACTTTCTGTTGCAAGATCAACACATGGCACAGAGCATTAAGGAGCCATGTGTGAGCTCAGGTGGAGTTGAGACCCGCTGCGGCTGGCTCCAGCTCTCAGCACTGGCAGCCAAGGCCATGCCAGCAGGGCAAATGCTGGAGCTCCCGGAGTGAAGGCTGCCCGCTTGGTGGTACAGGTCTCCTTCGATGATGGCAGTGGCTCCTGCAGCCTTGACATTTCCCCTTTCTGCTCGAAGACACAGGTTTCCTGCTTCTTCCTGTCTGGTGGCATTAATGTCCCCCGATGCCCTGAGAGGACAATGCGTGTCTTCCCAGTGTCCCCGCGCTGTGAAACCACAGTGACTTGAATGCCGCTTTCCCGCCTGTGGGGGTGGCCTCAGGCCTACAGGCTCCTGAGACTCAGGGCTTGCTCGTCGCGCTGTTCTTGTCCAGTTTGTATTCAGTGACACGTCTCGGTATTGAAGCCGAGTGGAAACTCGAGAGCTAGCGTGTCCCAAGAGGAAGTCTGCCTCTGGCTTGTTCTTGCCCTTGCTGTAGCTAGGACTTCTTGGCACACCTGGACAGAATGTCACAACCTGTTTTCAGTGAGCCTCAGCCAGAGAGACAAGCGTCTGGGAGGACATGAAAGGAATGGGCCAATCCTGTCTCAATAGTATCAACACTTCCCCTGCTGACCTGAAAGGTACCAAGTTAAGGTCCATTTACACCCCCTCCCCCACTTCCACCCCCGCTGCAGCCCCTTCCCCTAGTGAAGTAGATGTAATATCTTCCTGTTCAGACAGGGTCTTAAGCAAGTGGAGAAATGTTTGCATTCTAAAGCAAGACTCTAGGTTCAGCCCTGCATAAGTAGTTGTCTGTGGCTTGTGTTTTTGAGGCAGAATCTTGCCAGCCCAGGTAGACTTCCAGCTTGAGATTGCCTGAAGCCCTGGATGACAGGTGTGTTCTTCTTCATCCAGCTTTCAAGTCCTGCTTGGAGCTTTGTGTCCTGAGCACGCTGCTCTCTGGCCTGCCGTTGATTTGTAGAAATGGGCTGATAATGGTTGCATTGACGGAGTTCCTGGGGCTCCGTGCCCAGTTCATAGGAAGTTCTCAGTGAGTTCCGGCTGCTCTGCTCAGTACCTTCTTTCTCATGATGTTACCTTCCAGTCGCTTAAGGGGTTGTGGAAATCATGTCTTCTCCAACCTGAATAGAAGCAACCTATAGGGTCACTTATGCAAATCAGGCTGAATGACACTCGAGAAGTTGGGTGGGAACTGCAAACCCAGCCCCTTATAAAGCCACTCAGGTCCCTCCTGCCCCTCCCATTCTCATTTCCCAGAGGAAAATGGTGGTGCTGAGGCGAAGGCTGTCTCTGTTCTCACAGTGAGGTGAAAGCTCGCAGTACCTCGGTGTAGAAACCTCACTGGAGCATGAATTGTTTCCAGGTAGGTCTGTTCTAGGTCTCACTTGTGGCTGCTCCTCACTGGGACTCCCATTCCACCCTTCCCACTTTCTCCTTGTGATTCCAGCTTGTCTGAGGGGTTGGAGAGCAAGCAGGGATGGCTTGTTTTGTTTTTATTTTTTAATTTATATTTACTTGGTACCGAGTAACTCAAAACAGAGCCTTGCACATGGCAGGCAAGTACTCCGTCCCAGAGCAACACACTCAGGCTGCTCTGAGGAAAGGTGTTTGGTATATCTGAAACGTTGTCTGTTGAGTGTTCTGAAAGAGTCTTTGGGAAGACAAACAGACGAAGATCGAGCTCGGAAAGGCTGCCTCCTTCCCTCCATCAGAGGGGAGCCCGGCAGAGCTTAAGTCCTTCCCGCGAGGGAAAGCTAAGCAGCATCTCTCCTTCCCCTTGCCCATCCCATTGAGGTTCCCTTGTCCTTTTGGAACTGGTTCCCATTTACTTCCTGTGAATGCCTCCCATAGTAATGCCTGATCAGCTCTCTTAGGGCAAGCCAGCCTGACCACACACGGCAGTGTGTGGCTGGAGATAGTGAAGCTTGTTCGGCTGGTGTGTTGTAATTTTGAGACTGCTTCAGCTGCGACCAGGTACAAGGAAATGTCCCCTGTTGATGATCCTCTGTTGTTTCCAGCAATGGATTTCACTCCCCGCGTGTTTCATGGTCCTCCAAATGGAAGATATCATTTGTGGCTATGTTTTGTTTTCTGTTCGAATTGAGGAATTTTCTAAAAAAGGAACCGCATCTGACTTGTGCTGGTGTAGAATGGCCTGAGTCATCTCTCCATATCATTCGTTAGTAGCGCTGTTAAAGATGTGTTTTTCGGGGAATGCCTGTATCAAGCAGTAGATTTGGGGGCGGACATGGTAGAGTGCCTTGCTTGGCCTGTATGAGTCTTGGGTTTTGTCTCTAGCAGTATGGGTGTGTGTGGAGGTGGAGGTGGAGGTGCATGTAGTTTAGGGTGGAGCACCTTGCTCAGCCTGTGTGAGTCTTGGGTTTTGTTTCCGACAGTGTGGGTGTGTATGTGTGACAAATTTTGTACCTATGAATGACATCTGTCAAGGGCCAGCAGTGTTAGTGTTGGCACACACTGTATGCAGGTTCTTAATAAATGAAGACTTGAATCCACAGCCCCAAGGAGCTCAGGAGTTCATTAGCTTGTGGCCCGATGTTGGACAACGTGAGACAGTTTCAATGCAGTGTAATAGCCACATAGATGGGGGTGAAGAGAATCTTAGAGGTGGGGAAGTGGTCAGACTGATGACCAGTACAGGACACGGCCGTGATATTCTCACACTTTCTGCTTGGGGTTTTTACTTTTCATGAGGACATGATCGTAGTCAATACCAGTCAGAATTGAAGCTGTGTGATTGGGTGTCATTCCAGAACAGTGTTAACCTGTACAAACCAGTATAGTGTTAACCTATACATAACCTGTATGGTGTTAACCTGTACGTACGTAACCAGTACGGTGTTAACCTGTACGTAACCAGTACCGTGTTAACCTGTATGTAACCAGTGTGGTGTTAGCCTGTACGTAACCAGTACGGTATTAGCCTGTATGTAACCAGGATGGTGTTAGCCTGTATGTAACCAGTATGGTATTAGCCTGTATGTAACCAGTATGGTGTTAACCTGTACGTAACCAGTACAGTGTTGGTGGCCTTCAGTAAATTATACTTCTGAGAAACCTTAGTTTATCTCATCTTGTAAAACTGTTTAATACATTTTTCATCATGAGATGCTTCTTAGTGATTCGTATTTCTTACAGTCTCTTAATTGACTCAGTCTCTTTAGTTCCTACCTACCTTGTTTTCCAACCTTGAACTTACCAGATATTGGCGGTTTAAAATGCTCCACCCCTAGGATGTTTTCTGAGGCCCATTTGTGTGCCAGATTTGAACCCTTTTCCGTAGATGAAGTCGTCTTTAAATGAAGTAAAGGTAACGCTAATAAACATCGCGGCAAAACCGAGAACTTGATTTTGTGTGTCTGAGTGTTCACCTGCTTATATGTCTGTGCACCATGTGCGTGCCTGGTGCCCACGGAGGCCAGAAGAGGGGGTTGGATCTGAAACCACAGATCCATGCAGTTGTGAGCTGTCCTGTGGCGCTGGGAACTGACAGGTCCTCTGTAGGAGCAGCTGCTGAGCCGTCTTTTCAGTCCCCAAACTGAGGGTTTTTATAATAAAAGTTTTATCTTAATAAACCTCCCTCCCTTCCTCTCTCCCTCCTTCCCTCCCTCCCTCCCTCCCTCCCTCCCTCCCTTTCTTCCTTTCTTTTTTGAGATAGAGTTTCTCTGTGTACTCGCTCCGTAGACCAGACTGGTCTCAAACTCAGAGATCCACCTGCCTCTACCTCCTGAGTGTTGGGAGTAAAGGCGTGCGCCACCATTCCCTGACTCTAGACTTCTAATATTAATAAA